ATGCTCGTCCAATTGTGATTTAGAATTCAATCTAGAATCCCACAGGCAGTCGCATAGCGTTAGACCACTTAGCCTTCAATGACCAATGGATTCGGATTCGAATCCCATGCCATTCCAACCTGGGATTGGGTACGGCTGATTAACTACGGTCAATAAGCACTTCTGCTCTGCTCATAGTACCGATCGCTTTGCGACTTAGGAACTTTACTTTCGGTAGGTTGAACATTGCCTAATAGACTGGAGTATGTGAAACATTTTTATAGGAACTATCCACAATGATCTAGCGTAAACGGTCGTTTCGATCAGTGCTAAGTTACAGTAGGCGAGCTAACTCATGTAAAGTCATGATCGAAATTGGAGTTGGTAGTTCAGCATACATTTGGCCTTATTATGCCGATTTGTTGAGTGGATCTGATGCCCAGAAAACCTTTTACTTAAGAAAACGGCATGTTTGGTCAAGTTTATTTAAGGAAAACAAGCAGAATTTTGGCGCAATCAGAGGTGGCCGGATATCGAAGACATTTCTTATGCCACTTTGTATGATAGAAGAAACTCTTTTGTTTTTTTGTGTTGCACAATAAAAGAAAATTAATATAAGCAAGAAAACCTTGAGGTAAATCCCTTCTGGGGAAGAAAAATGGAATAATAGGTCAATGAAAATCAGGTGAAGATAAATGGTTAGAAGTTTAATTTACTTCTCAGAACAGCACGCGACCGGTGGTTTTGGGGCTTACACGGGTGGGGCACAGCAGTGGAAAGAAAAAATAATAAAAAAGGAGAGTGTACAAAAAAGAAAATAACAGGAGGTCAAAATGTGTGTCTAGGCGGACCGGCGGCTAAGACAGGTGATAAGGTGTGCGCTGTCGAATTGGGGACTTGTCCGTCTCTGCGGGACCCGTTTCCGAGTCCAGTGATAAATCGTGTGCGTTCTTGTTAGCGACTTTCGCTCATGGTAACTGCGGTGCCGTTTCTTTTGAGCGCTTAGTCCCGGTCTACATAGCCTGATGGCAGCGGTTTCTGCTGTAGCCAACAGACGCTGTCCAAGTGATTTTGAATAGCTGGAGGGTACCCTGTAGGCCACTCGGAAAGCCTCTGGTTTGAGTCTACC